GTGGGCTGTTTCACGTATGGATGGGTGCCTGCACGAGTGGGTGCCTGCAGGAGTGGGCGTCTGCCAGCGAGTCCAAGCTTCACCCCCGCGGGGTCCTGCATGTGTTTCAGAGCCCCTCTCTGCCTCCTCCCCGTGCCCTAATAGCAGGTCTGAAAATCCCCCTTTTCACTCCAGAGCTGTTGCCTTTTCACCACATCCCCGTTCCTGCTGCCATTCCCTCTTGTGGCCCCAGTTTGTGTGTGTTTTTTTCCCTGAAAAGTTTTCAGTAAGGAAAACTCCTCAGGGAGCTCCGCAGCACTGTGCCCAGCACCCGCATAGACATGAAGTGATCAAATTGAGAACCCTCCGAGTGGGTAGGCAGAGTCCCCAGCAGACACCCCTACCGTACCTCGGGCTCCCTGCACACAGCCCATGACGCGGTACCCAGAGCTCAGGCAGTGCCGCCTGACCAGTGATATATTTGACTTTTATCTAGACAACGGTTACATAGAAGAGAAGGAGCTTGACGATTTTTTTCATCATCTCCTGGAGAAACTGGAACCAGAGGTATGTACTGCACCGCGTTATTTGTGCATCAAGTCCGAGCAAAAAGGTCGTTACGCTGCAAGATGATTTGAGTTTGCTGTTCTCCAATTGCTGGCTCCCTTAGCAATTCCCCCAGGTAAAGAGCTTTCCCCTTGGCAACGAGAAGGCATCTAAGCAGATATGACCACAGGTGCAACCACCTGAGAAATCTGATCAGTTGTTTTCAGCCCAACAGCTGCTGTCACAGGGAGACTGCAGTTGGCACCAGCTGACAGGGCTGGTCAGAAGTTCGGAGAGAAAGTCGTCCACTGCCATTGAATAGAAACAGAGGAAAAAGCACCAGTGCACAGTTTGGCAGGGCAAGGGGGAGGATGACGATGATGATTTATTCTAGCGAGTGCTGATTAGCTTTGTTAATACCGTAAGTTTCTTTCCAAGGTCAATTTTTAACAAATATACTGCCATTAATATTAAACGGTGCTTAGAAAGATGACGTATGTCCGTATTGCCAAAAATGGCTAGAAGCCCAACAGGCATCAATTCTGTTGCTCGTAAGGTCAAGACCTGGCTTTCAAGTGTTTCTGGGTTTCTCCTCTGGTTTCCTTTCCTATTTTTGGCAGCATTTCCCCTCTCTCACTCTCTGCACCTCAGTTCTACCAGAAGTTGCACAACGATTTAGAGGGGCTGGTCTCCTTAGCTCCAGGCCATACGTTGCCTTTGGCTGTTAGCATGAGTGAAGGAGGAATCCTGCCACTCAGGTCAGCTGCTCTGAAGAATATGTTCTAATAACGGGCTTAAGATTTTCTCTACACAGCGTGTGCCCAACTAGGAAGAGAAAAGGAATAATAAATAAATCTTCCGAAAGAAAGGAGAAGGTTTGCCAAAACCCAGAGGTGAAACAATTCCTTTAAGCAAAAAGTAATTAATGAAAGGGAAAAGAGAGCTGATAAAAGGCATAAATTCGTGAGTATCAAGTGTAAAATCAGAGTTACACTTGCAAGCTAATTAGGATTCTTGGATCTTTGAGGTTACAATAAAAAAAGAGAAGCTGTGAATAATTTTTCAAGCATGCTTTTGTTTAATTTGCAAGTAAATTTGGATTGAAATATTGGCAGTTTCTGCAGAAATGTCTTTCTAGAGCACGGATAGTTAGATGAACAGATGGGCACATAAAAAGACTTTAAAGCAAATCAAAAAAGAGTCAACAATAAGTGCTAAGAAGCATTAAGGACACAGAAAAACTGATTTCAAGAGAAACCGAAAAGCTTGTGATTGTCTACCTGGAAACAAAAGATGAAGTTGGGAGCTGTGAGTCTTGGGGTATTGAAACACCAGTGCAAAGCATGCCCAGACGAACCCAGTGACAGCAAACACTACCTCCAAGCAGGGCTTTCTAGAGTCAGCTGCAGCTGGTGACAAATTGGAGGTTTAGCCAGGGATCTCACCCTGCAGGCACCTTCCTAGTGATAAGAGGTCAAGAGGAAACTTCCAGCCCCACTCCAGCCCTTACTGTGGCCTTACACATCCCTCACATGAGATTTTGGAGGCAGCATCACACCGACTGGATTGCAAACCTTGTATGTTACAGCAGGTTTTGTGGTCTTGCTGGTATCAGTGTGAACTCATACTGTCTAATGTATAAGCGCTCAGAACAGGCCAAATGAGGATGTTCTTGAAATGATCTATTGTGCTTCGAGAAATCAAGAGCAGTTTCACTGATTGCCAAAAGTCACTGCTCAGATGACTCCAACTTAAACCAGTGGCCTCATCTCACTTGCATCTGCTTTGCTTCTGCTGTCTAGGTTTTGCCGTTAAAAGAAAAAGCCTAACACAAATTGAATGAAGAACGAACCCACTCCCTCTCTCCCCATTAAGTAAAAATAATAAAGAGGCTAACTCTGGAAGACAGTGCTCACTAACTGCCAGGGGGCTCAAGCAGGCTCTTGAGTGTTTTTTGGTTTTCTCCCCTGATTTTCTTGCCTGGTTTTGGCACTGTTTCGCTCAAGTAGTCTTACCCTGAGCAATAAGACAACATGTTGCCTTGTTCTTTCTGGTTTCGGTTCTCAGGGTTGTGTAGGGACGAAGCAGTCTCCTGTCCAGCAGAAGCCAGCAGAGTGTCCTGCCTCGGGGGTGGAAGACCCAGACCCAAGGGGAGCTTTGTCCCGGGAGCCTGAGAGCAGTCTCCTGCCCCGCTCCCCTAGGCACGGGGATCTCCTGTAGCGCTGGATTAAACAAAAGTCTCTGCTACCTGTGTACAATGAGTTTATCGAACAACATTGAGCCATTTTTCTGTTTTTCACATGATTTGTGTTGTATGGGCTTGCGGTTACAGTGGGAGGGGTAAAGGATCCCCTTTGCACTGGTTTTCACCATTCTACAGAAAGAAATTGTCTTTCGTGATACAAGCAGTGAGCTGGGACTGAGCATCTCCGCTTTAGCTCTCGTTTTGACCTTTACTCCTTCTTCGGGCTCTTAACATCTGAATTTCCTTGCACAGTAAAAGGAGGAGACATAATGCACTGGCATAACTTCCAGATGTGTTGCAAGGATTAATTAGTGACTGTGTCTGAAGTGCTATACAAGTGATAAATAATGTTATCAGCACGGGAAGTTGTCTCTGCTTGAATAGCGAACGGCTTCATAATTACATTTTTTCAGCCTGCGCTCTCTAAGCTGTTATTTTTCTTAATGACCACTGTAGTCCTTCAGCTCTGTTTTTCTCCCCAGCTACTCCACAGCATCCCCAGCTGACACTAAATGCCGGGGGATGAGAGCAGCTGGGAAAACAATGCAAAAGGGAGCCCACTGGGGAGCTGAGAGGCACAGCTCTTCCTGACGGCTCTGAGCAAGGAAGGAAACTTGAAATACCATCCAGCGAGGGAAGCGAATTCATCATCTTTAATTGAATGACTAAGAATTTTTTTTGGGGGGGGAAAGGAAAACTTTGCAACAAATGTAGCCCTACAATAAACCAACTCAAATCCCAGATGCTGCTTTCTGTCTCGCCTCCTCCAGCAACGAGTGATTACTGGAGGCATCTGGACAATGCTCCTAATAACATGGATTAACTTTTGGTCAGCCCTGAAGTGATCAGGCAGTTGGACTACATGATCCTCGTAGGTCACTTCCAACTGAAAGTCTATTCTATTCTATTCTATTCTATTCTATTCTATTCTATTCTATTCTATTCTATTCTATTCTATTCTATTCTATTCTATTCTATTCTATTCCTAAGAAAACATCTTTGATTTCCAGGTATGTGTTACATATTCATAAGGCTTCAGTGAAACACAGGGGATTTATGACCCTAACATTTATATAATTCTCCGTCAGCTGGAGAGGCTTCTGTGGTTGGGTTTGTTTGGAGGATGTGAGGCAGAATCGAGGATAATTCAGCCACACACCAGCACAGGTTTGAGAACTGCTGACGTTATCCATCTGCTGCCGTTATTACTCCTATGACTTCTCTCGGACCATTCGAGCCTCCAGCTTCCAACCTGTCACTGCATGGCTGCTGTGAGCTGCCTGTGCTCTCTTCTGCTCACTCAGAAACCTCTTTCTTCTACATTATGGACAGCTTTCCATGCGTTTTCTAGAAGTCTTTATACTGAGGTGAAAACTTAGTCAAAAGGAGTTTCTTTCAGCACTGAAGAAGGAATTTTATTGGCATTACAGCCCCTGCCTTTCTCTTTTATATTGCTGTACATCTTTCTGTATAGAGATCATTTAGGATCTTCCTTGCTTGCTCTTTGCTATAGTTTTAATGAAGCTCTATTTATTCTCCTACTAATCAAACAAAGAGAGTTTTATACATGAATGGCTGTAAATTTTGGGTTTGGGTTACTGAAAGTTTTGATAAAACCAATGATGTCTGGGCAGTTATGGAGGGAAATGCACTTTGCCATTATGCTTGCAGGGCTTTCACAGAAAGGCATTTCACTTTACTTACATCATACTAAACTGAGACAGAAGACTTTCAGATAAGAGTCGGTTGCCCTCACCTAACTGTAAGTGTGTAAGAGACCATGTGTAAAAATTTTTGAAGTGTAAATTTCATCAGGCAAGACAGGTATTAGCCTTGTTATAATCCCCTTGCCCCACACCACCTGGATAGTTATGACTGGAAGGGACAGAAGTTAATCTTCAGGAGCTCATGCTGAACAGCCATAAAAGATTTGTCTTTGCTTTTTAGTTCCAAAGAAGATGAGCAACCTCCAGCTACTCTTGCACTTCATCCTTGTCTTGCACAACATACTGTCTATCTAAATGGTATTTAACTTAGTATGGTCAGGAATGCAGCAGCTAATCATTCAAAAAAAGGTTTAATGGCCAAAACATCAGCCATCCTCCAAGCCATCAAAAGCAGACTTCCTCTATATTTTATCACCCCAAGAGACCCAGGATCACAGACCGAGCCTCTGGTGACCAGAAAGTCAACAGCAAGAAGACTCCTAGCAGAAAGCATTTGTCTTCCATCCTCCTCCAGACTAATTCAGAAATCTAAACCCTAGGTCGATCCTGATTATTTAAATAAAAGGAAGAAATTCTTCACTCTGAGGATGGTGAGGTGCTGGAACAGATTTCCCAGAGAAGTTGTGGATGCCTCATCCCTGGAAGTGTTCAAGGCTGGGATGAATGGGGCTTTGAGCAATCTGATGTAGGGGAAGGTGTCCCTGACTGTGGCAGGGGGGTTGGAATTAGATGATCCTTAAGGTCCATTCCAACCCGAACCATTCTATGATTCTGATTATTGCCAAAGACAGTTATTTCTTTAGATCTGGCTTTTGTCAGCCTTGATTAGCCTGATGAGTTCCTATTCCTGTTCCTGTACATTAAGGCAGGGCACTGGAAAGGCTTGGAAGTATCTCTAAATGCAAACTCAACATGCCTATGGGAAAAACCAGACATGATGTGTTTTCCTTACCCGATGGCATGTCAAAAATCTTTCAGCCTAGCGGAAAGGGCAGAACAAAGAACCTGTCCAAAGCCTAACCACAAAACCGTGATGGCACAGGGAAGGC